TTATCTGCTTATCATTGCGCATTATTTGCTCTTTATCAAAATTTAACGGATATGCTAGAGTATGTATCTAAAAGTTTGTTTATAGCTATGTCGCATAGTATCTTTGAGTGTGCACCACCGCGCCTTGTTGTTAATTAAAAATAAACTCATTTAAATGTTGTTTGCTTTAAGATAGCAAATATCTTTAAATACCCTTAACAAAAACTATATAAATATATACAATATATGTATTTACTACTACAAGAAAATTGCTGTGCAAGTTGATAAGTAATTTGTACAATGCTAGATATGAGATATCGGATGGGCTGATGAGGGAAAGCGGTTTGAAATACAGTTTTTGTACAATTTAAAATTTTAAAATCTATGCGTAAATTAAGTACAATAATTATACTCCACAACTCTATTTTTTTGATGAATATGTTGCTCGAGTTTATTTAAACAAAAGCGGCATTTGAAATAATTGCATTAACGACCCCAAAGTCAATGACTTTTGCAAAAAAAAATGAAAAAGCTTTTGTAATTTAATTAGGCATACATTTACACACAAAACTACTTGGCTAAAATGGTAAAAAATCAGTGAAAAGAACGTGGGGAAAACTCAGCTCAGCGAAGTGAAAATTACGCGACTAGCGCTGGAGTTTTGGGTGTAGGGGAAATGGCAACTCAAAGGTAGCGTAGGAGTCGCATTTTACAATTTTTTTTTTTTTTTTTTTTACTTTAGTTTATTTATTTTTATTGTTGCCACTTGAAAGCACAGCAAGTATTTATGACTGCTTGTTGGATGGATGACTGCCTGGTTGGTTTGGATGACTGGCTGGCTGGATGGATAGGTGGATAGCTTGTTGGGTTGCCGACATCAAAAGGCAAACAACGTGCAGTATAAATAAAAAGAAAAATTAAAAAACATTTTATGATTGCTATGAAAAGTCAAGTCAAAGAAAAATCTGCGAAAAAAATAGCGGACCGTGCAGCGAATGAAATTCAATTTCCAAACAAGTCATGTTGAAACAATGTGTGAAGTTGGCAAATTGTTCAATATTTGCCCAGCGGTAATTGAAAATCAACTAAAGCATCATAAAATACGACTATCTGCCTGATGGTATGTGGCATACGCGCTATCTGGTAACTTACCCAGTAAAAGTCCGTTGATAAAATCATGACACGCGCGCCTATAAAAGATGTGTGTTTACTATGCTATAAATACCAATTTATAGGCGCTGCATTAAATGCCTTTTGTTTTTCAAGACAATATGTCGTATAAATTTCTTTTCTTTTTTAAAATTTCTTCAACACACACGTACACTAACACACACACACGCACACACAGCACTAATGATTCTTATGCGCTGCTAAACAAACATTTAGCTATACGACAAAAAAAAATGAGGAAAATTTGCTGCGGCTGCAAACTCTACCGACACGAACCAACTTCCATTGACGACTATTCAAAAATTCTGAGCGAAAAAAATATATATTTATTTTTCATGCCACAGCCGCCTAAACATTTTACACATATGGCAAAAACAAGCCCAGTCCATTGTGCTGTTTGCCGTTCTACACATGAGCACGCAAAGTATCTACAAAAAAAGTATCTGTATCTGTAGCCGTAGCTGTGGCTATAGCTGTGTAGCTGTTGCCATTGCCGTTGCCGTTGTCGTTGTCGTCTGCCGTGACGTGACACACATGTGGGCAATTCTATGCAGCCAATGGTAGTTGTTGTTCTTCATAATGTTGTTGTTATTGCTATTGTTGTTGTTGTTGTTGCTGTTACTGTGTTTAGCCAAACATGTGCCTACGGTCGATTTTTTTTTCTTTGGTTTTGGTTTCTTGACTGGCTTTTATGGTTTATGTGTTAATAAGGCGACCTTCAGAACGCTCTGAGATTTTTCTTCGCTTTTTTGGCATATTTAACAGCCAAAAAAGTAAACCTTATAAACTTTACTTGTCTTACATAGCGCTTGACAAAGACCGAGTTTCTTCTTTTCTTTCTTTTGTGGTTGGTTAATACCCAAGTATTGGGCGTGGCTGTCGAGTGACACAATGTCTGGCATATTGCAATAGGATTTCCTTCTTTTTGTCATAATCGCAACCCACTCGAAGTAAGTTTATGTTATTTAAATTGCACAGCATAAAGCTATAAAAATGTATGCGGAACTGAGTTCCTATGAACTGGTTCTTTTCGAGTTATCATTTAAATCAGTTAAAAGAAATTCAACCTGGAGAATCTTAATTTAATTTATACACATATTTTATGATTAGCGATTTTTGTGTCATAACATGATTACGACTGGGTGATGAGTATGTCTACAACAGAATAGTTGTAGTAGTAGGAAAAAAATACATAATTCGTTTTAAATACTAATAAAAAGGTTAATAAAATATAAGTGAATATTTTATGCCTGTTTTAAAAAATGTATAAAATTTATATTTATTGTTTGTTTATTTAGGATTTAATTCGAAGTAAATTTTGTTTTTTGGCCATTGGGACAAAAGCTAAAGCAAGCTTGCCAGCGTGCGTTTTGGTCAAGCAGATAAAATTTGCCCCACGCATCTATTCAATTCCTTATTTTCTTGCAAAAACTAAAAAAAATATATTTAAGTTCACAATTTGAACTGGGAAGCTCTCGCTTGTTAACGTTACTTTGGCATAGCACATTTATATATTTTAATATTTTCATAGAGACATTCCTCCACTCTTATTAAGCGAATGTTCCAAAATCCTGACCTAATGCTTACTGTCGAGGCGTTGGAGTTTCAGTCAAAATTTTGGCTTCGTAACTGTGAAGGCTTGAACTGTGAATTGGCCACTGTTCCGTTAATCAGTCAGTCAGCGGGTATAGGATATATCTTTTTAACACGTTTCGCCTTTGTGGAAATTTGAAGTCTACCCATATTGTTCAGTACTCCACGTTTTAGGTAATATTTTGCAAAGATAATTTTAAATTATTTTGAATATATCGAAATACAAAACCAAAGAACGAAACTTAGGCATTGTACCCATTTATTCCTGATATTGAAACAACATATTTTTAACACAATTCATAAAACTTAAATTTACTTTTAAGAACGTTATGAAAAAATTATAGAAATAAATAAAAAATTTGTAGGCATTGGCTTGCATAAATGCAATAAGAATAAAAAATGTGCATTAAGATTCCCTAAGGACAACGATATCAGCATTGTAAATATGCAGTTTTTAATCATTTTGTCGGGCAGGGAGCTGCTCTCTGAAGAATATGGAATGCCAGTCGTTGGTTCAGTTCTAATTTGACTGTGAAACCTAATTGTACTGGAATATAAGCGAATATAAAATGTGGTTAAAACTAATTCAAATTTGTTGCATATATTTTGCAATTGATAAAGCTAATGCTGGTTTAAATTCAATTATAATCCATACAAGTAATTGTTTCGTGTATCGGTTGATATTTAACACGCAATGCCCGCCAGAAGAGATGTATTTTATTAAAGAGAACTCGTGTAAGCTGACTTTAATTGGCGACACTCTTGAATTTAAGGGCTCCTCTACATTTCACAATTTAAATGATTTTAAGGGAACTTGTTATGTGGATAAAGAAGCAATCAGTGCGTTTTTATTTTTTGAGGAAAAACAAAGATATAAACAAAAGGCACTGTTTTGCGACATGTTTGAAAAATGCAAAACAATTTTAAGGAACTGCAATTAAACACACGTTAATTCAATGCTTATAAAGACGTTTAATAATGACGGCTTACGCACCTCTCCAAACTTGCCAAACTTGAGGCAATTAGGTTGGCAAATGCATGGGATACAGAAGAATTTTTATGTTTTGGGAATATTATCGAATGTTGACAAGTATGAACTTTTTGGCTTTACCAATTTACCTCAACTTAGAGAACTGCAAATATCGACTTTCAAACCTTCCGGTTTGCTAATATTTAACGTTAAATTGAATATATTTATATTAAGTAAAATGTTTTTAAGAGGCATGCCCAAATTGGAACTATTTCAAGTGAATAATATTGATTTTTATGAAATCGGCTTGGATATTCATAAAGAAATGTTTGAAATGTTTGCCTGAGCAATTTATCAAAAATAATATTCGAAAACTTACAAATTTATGTCCTTACTGCAGACCATTTTAAAGATTTAATTAATTTAAAATCTTTGCATCTCAGAGGCATAAGCGTAGAACAGTTTGATTGGCTCAGTTCTGAAACATTACAAAATAATGTGGAATATTTGGAAATGAAATATTCTATAAGTGAAAAAGAGGATTTATCTGGAATGCAATATTTTCAAAAATATTCAAAATTAGGCATAATTGATATTATATCTGAAAGTATAAACTTCGACTGGTTTTATAAATATAATACAACTGCCTTTATTTGTACTCAACTCTCATGTGATTGTATTTTCAAAAGAGACATTAGTAACAAAACCTGTCCCTTTGGCTGTGTATGCACTTTGGATCGTATAGAAATGCAATTTAAAATAGATTGCGCTTCTATTGAGCCACTTGGACTAATTCCAGATTTACCTATCCCAATAATTGGTAATGCATCATTGTACTTCAATAACAAAATCCTGACTGAATTACCAAACTCAACCTTATATGGATATGAAAATCTTCGAGAGCTGCATGTGGCCAATAACAGAATCACAAATTTAACTGTGGCCCAACTGCCACCTAATTTAACCTATTTGGATGTAAGCAACAATAGTTTGAAAACTCTTGATAACCAAGTGGTCGAGTTTCTCTCCAGGAGATCAGGTACAATACGACTTAGGCTTTCAGGCAATTCATGGATATGCAATTGTGATGCTGAGCCGTTGGTATTGTTTGTTGCTAATTTGTCTAATATGATTAAGGATCGTGAAAATATTAAATGCAATGAAATACAGATGGTAGATCTTAAAAAAGGAGATATTTGCGGATTTTCTAAAATTACACTTATTGTTGCCAGACTTTTGGGATTCGCAATTATAATAATTATAATGACGTATTTTTACTTTAAGAAATCCAGTATTATATGTCTTTATGAAAGAAATCTTTGCATTTCCCGTCCGGAACCCGAAAATAGTACACCGTTGACAATTGACGCATTTCTTGCATTTTCACACAAGGACTTGGAACTAGTCGGAGAATACGTTGAAAAGCTGGAGAAGGGCTCTCGCGAATTCAAGCTTTGTTTTTATCAACGCGACTGGTTAATTGGCGAATCCATTCCGGCATGCATTTTAAAATCAATAGAGGAATCGAAAAGAATTATTATACTGATGACCAAGAATTTCAAGGAGTCATCCTGGGGTCGCTTCGAATTCCGTATGGCCATTCAGGCCACCTCCATCGACCGGTATAAACGCCTGATACTAATTGTGTATCCAGAAGTGGAAAACTTTAACGACCTGGACTCTAAGCTGAAAACCTTCATGAAATTTAATACGTATCTGCGACGTGATGATTCCCAGTTTTGGAGAAAACTAATCTATGCGATGCCCCACAATCATGGAAATACTGGACGAACTGGTCAGCAGTAATGCCCGACAGGTTAAAACGCGGCAACTGCTGAGATCCAAATTAGTTGTATGATATATTCATTTTATTCGTTTCACAAATATATTTGATAATTTCAATTAAATTATATAAAAGAGATATTTTCTTTAAACTTTGTACTCAGTGTTCCGACCCCTAGCCCAACGAATCCTAGCCAACCCTCTAGAGAATACACATGAATACCAAAAAAAATTAAAGTAAAGGCTGACAACATTCTTTCCTCAACCAAAAAAAAATTCACATAAGCATGAGTAAAGTTAGAGTTTTAGCCTGAAATTCTTTAAATGCAATAAAGTTTTGCTCTCTTTCTAAGGTTTGCTCGTTTAACTACCAATTGAGCAGCTCTGTGTCAAGAACTCTTCTGGTATATCCTGCTGTTTTACATGAGCCAGCAGTCTATAACAAAGCAACCCATTGACCTTCATGCAACACTCGAGAGGCACTCGCAATACATCAAACCACTCAACCCGCTCAAAAACCGTTATCAAGCGCACATATTTGGGCATGTCAGGCCGAGTGCAAAAATGTTCAAATGCTGCCACATGCAGCTCATACACACTCACACGCACGCACACACATTTGAGCATTCAAAAGTCATTTAAAATGCAATAGAAAACTCGCTGCCACTCGCAGTGGGGCGACCCAACGAGAACCATCCACGAACTGTGAGCAGAGGCCTCAACGGAACCATTCACACGACCAAAGATCCTGCCGCGCGTAAGAAGGAAATAAATATATATATAAAAAAAAGGCATGCCAAAAAGAGGTACACAATTTTGCTGTTCTCGTGGTTTCTTAGAACTGAGCAAAAAGATGAAAAAAAAGAAGAAAAAATACATCATCTTGGCTGTCGTCTATGGCCCTGGTTGTGAGGCGTCGCCAGGTCTGCCAAAAAACGAGTGCTCAGAACTTATGCATGTGCCACAGATGGAAAGATACAGAAGCCAGAGCGGGAGAATAGCCCGTGAACTTGGGCCAGGAAGTGTCGGTCGATTGGCAGTGCCAAATACTGTTTGTCTTTTCTGCGTGTGAGGTTAACTTGAAAGTAGGTATAGCTAATACCCTTTAGAAGCAAGTGATATATTTGTGCAGTGATATCATCTCAGTTGATTTAGGTATTCCAATGAAATTGGGTAAATGGGAATTATGGTTGAATTATATTTTGTGGAATTCAGAGCAGAAAATGTTGATATGGATCTTTAAGTTAAATGTGCATATTTATATATACTATATTATGCAAGTTATGTTCAAGTTATGTCAAGCTAATACTAGAATCTAGAAAATAATTGGATTTGTTAGGCTATAAATGCGTTTTAATTATTCTTCTATATTTAATATTGGAAATCAAATGGTGCTTGAACCACACCTATTAAATATTAGCTGTTACTTATTAGAATTTTAAAACAATAATATAAACAAAGCAAGGCCTGTATGTAGTAAAATTGAAAAAAATGAATTATTTAAATTTCACTTTGGTTTTAATTGTTATGCTGGAGTGCCTTGCACCCCTTTAAACAGTAGTGTATTACTGCTTCGTTTTGCATTAAACATTTCTTAAAAAAAAAAAAATTGAAATAAAATGCGTTGCATATTTGTGCAAGCTCTCAACTCAAATGCGATGGCGTCATGCGGGCTCGATAAAAACGATGCGATTGGCGCTGTTTGCCTTTTTTGGTTCTGTTGTGTGAACCACTGCATAAATCTGCAGAAATTATGGCTATATTTTGAGTTGGTTTTTACGTGCCGCAATTGATGACAGCTCAAGTAATTCGCATAAGAAACAAAACTTGAAATGTATCTAAGTATCTGAGTATCTGTGTAGCCATTAGCCACAACTAAGTATGTGTGCTGAGGAGGTCACGCCCCCCTCTGTAAAGGCGAAGGCAATGCCATTTCGCATGCTGTTTATATTTATGCAACATGTCGAGAGTGGCAACTTTGTATCTAGATACTTTTAGTAGTGTATGCGTGTGCGTGTGCACGTTTGTCTGTGTGCGACTGCGTCTGATTATGACATTTAACATGAACACGTAGCGAGCGCAACACATGCGAGCGACAGGATTGATATTTTTTTCTTCTTTATATTTTTGCTGTTGGTATTTTTGCTAGACACGAACGCACAGCATGGCAGCAGGGGAAATAGCAAATGGGGGCGGGATAAAGAATTGCAGGCCAGTTCCCTTTTTGGCTTCATTGCGAATTCATTCATTCATTTCGTGCTGCTGCCCTGTCATATTTTGCGGTCTTATCGCAGCCCAAAACAAAATTGGCAAACATTTTGAGGCGCCAAATGCACCTTAAAAAAAAACCTAACTGCAGTGCACACAAAATGTTGCCCCTGCTCAAGGATTGGAGTCGGGCTTGGGTCTGGCCCGGGTCTGGGATCGGTGTTTGTCCATGGCTAAATTGGCTTGTTCGAATGTATCTTGATAAGAACTGACGGCCTATTGGCAGCGGAGTCAGCGCATTGAATTGGAAAATGTTTTTAGCTTTTCTCTATTGTTTTTTTATTTTTATTTTTGTGGCTTGCCTGTGAAACTCGCTTGTAGACATTTTTGTTGTTAACACTCACCTGCAAAGAGAGAAGAGAAATAAGGTGGAAATTAATTAAAATATGTAAAACTAACCACTAATTGTAAAACTAGCATTTATCTAGATTCTTTGTAAAAGAAGGAGTAACAGATTGCAGACGTATATGGAAGTAAGTTAAAATGTACATATATAGATTTTTTAATAATCAAACTAATCGGATAAACTCTCTTGTTTCCACACTCAGCACTCAGCTTTTAAACATTAGGTATTCTTGAATTAATTTTGAATTTTTTTTATAACATTAAATTTGTATATATAAATATCTTGAACAATTATCAAGCCTTGGGCTGCAATCCGGATCCTTTTAAATCACTTATTTTAATTTTATGAAATTAAACGCAGTTAAATACTTAAATTCGATTATTATTTATTGCTGTGTTATAATTTCTGTATGCAAAATAATTAAAGGCTTAACATTTCGAAACAATTGAAACAAGTTTCGATAGGTATGCAAAGCGAATAATAATACCTAAAGCTTGCCTGTTTAATGAGCAGCTTATAGAGCACTTGTTATAAATGCCACAACAACAGGCTTAAAGTATATTTATATAGCCCGATAGACTACCAAATATTCAAGTGGGCCTTAAGCCTAACTCAATTATGTTATAAATGTTTAAATCTTGCAATCAATGAAAAATAAATTCCAAACTTGCTTAAAAAAGAAGAAATATGTATATTTGTCACCTCCGAAACGAGTTCTATAAAGAAATCAAGTGGAACGAGAACAGCTACAACAACAATGGCAGCAAGTCAAGTGCTCGGTGGCGACTTATTTGTCACTAGAGCTGTTTAGCAATGGTTGTTGTTGCTTTTATGGACAGTGTACAACAATGTTGTGTGGGCGTCAAGTTGAATGACAGACAGGGGCGTGCAGGCTGAGGCGGCAGCTGGGTAAGGTCAGGCGTTCACCAGTGCGTATGAGCAATAATTTTTTTAATTGTCGCATTAAACAGTTAACGGGCGTCACGATTGCCTGCCACAGTATTTCACTTACGCCCGCCACGCCGCCTGCTTTCCACTTGTGGTTCGTTTTGTTTTTGTTATGTTTTATTTTTGCCTGCCTTTAATTGTTTATGCAAATTAGAATTTACTGATGAGCAATTCAAATACACATTCAGCGCTTTTTTTTATTATTAATGTTTGAGGAAGCGAATGGCGCTGAGGCGCTTTGCGCGAAAGCATCTGCAACTCTCAGCTACTTTTAGCTGTGCAAATAAAGGTGTGAATACACTTTGCAAGCAAATCTTAACGAGTACTTTTGCCTTATTAGAGCCTGAAGCGTAACTTCGTGTCAACTGCGCCACAAAAGACGCCGCAGCATTTCAACTGGGTTGACAAGTGCGCGTATCTGTGGCTACGTGTATCTGTAAGCTATGGCAGCTGAGCATTGGGCACTCTTCAGCATAATTGGGTTCGCTTGTCAAGAGATGTAGAAATCAACAGCATATAGTTTTACATTAGGGGTGCTCGTTATACTACGATTTTCAATTGAAAATTTAAAAAAAATGTTTAACTTGAATTCACAAATGAACACAAAAATTTAAATTATTTTTAAAAATTGTTTTTTGGAAACTTTAGCAAAAATTTAAATTTTTGTGTTATTGTGTTATTTTTTTCCTGTCTATTTAAGAAAATAATTTTTCTATTAAAAAGTTTTGGTATAATTTATATTTTTATAAACGATTTTTCATTTAAAATGTTAAGCCAGAAAAATTGTTTTTGGTCTCTTTTGATAAACGTTTTTTAATTTTGCTTGTGGCAACTAAAGATTTAATTCATTTATAATATATATATTTTGATTCAAATTAACTTTTTAAATTTATAAAAAATATATTTCAAAAATGTTAGGTATTCTTGTAAGTGACAAACAAATTTAAAAGATTCTATGAATCATGAATATCCCCACTTCATGTACATCACGAACAGGGTACGTACAAAATTTGTGCAGCTCTTGACCGATGCACGCAGCACACAGTTTGCGGTCAAAGCTCGTGTCATTTATCTTGATATGTGGCCCGCCCTGTTTACCCTACCGCCCCTTATCAAATTAGCTCAGCTAACAGGTAGTGTAAACGTCAGTTAACCAGCTCTTTTGTCATCATAACTCCGTTCGTCTAGACTTAAGAGCGTACAGCAAATTCCATTTGATTGAACGCAGCGTTGACAAACGACGTAAATGTCTGTAAAGTCGGTAGATAAACTCCGCATAACTCTTCCACCCGCCAAACACCTCCCACCTTAGCAATCGGTAGCGTTGGTCCAGGTTCAATGCTTCAATTAAATTTCCTGTCAATCATTTTTTGACTTCGCTGATGTTGCTGCTGTTGGCTTTTGCTGCTTTTCACTTGTTTTGTTTTGAAAAATTCGTTGAGCATTTTGAAAATTTCATAGCTGGTTTTGATTAGTTA